AAAAAAAAAAAAAAAAAAAAAAAAAAAAATCAAGTGTCAAAACGAACTTCTGGTCCAAATCTCCCAAAATTTTTCTCTTGATTCTCCCGTGGCACCCTCCGGACCCACCCTACACAACCACCACACAGGGGGTTAATTAATGCAGTTTTATTAGTACACCCGGGCCTATTCAGATTGTCTGAGGGAAAAGTGCGCTAGATTACCGAGTGTGCTATCCCCACCTACCCCACTTTCGAGGGGCGGCATACAAAAGCGGCACCACCTCACCACTCGACTGGCATTTCGGAACGAACGGGGTGGCTTTCGCCCCAAGCCTTCATGCCACTGTTCAAGTCGACCGCGGACCGGAGTGGTCGGCGCCAAGAGGCTATCCAAAATAATTAGCTCGTAATAATGCCGCATACCTGTCTACTGCCACGTCGGCATACAGAGGGAAAAAAAGGAGAACAAGTAGCGAGAGCTCAGGAAATCGGGGTCGAAGGAGAAGGACAGTGTCGCCTGTTAGGATTTTCATAGGAGCGACAGCTGCCACGTCAACGACATTACGAAAGCTTAATGACTTGATGGTTGCTACTGAATTTACACGTTGGGTATGGATTACAAAAAAAAAAAAAAAATTTTCTTTTTACGATGCATAAAACCACAAACAACGCAGACACGCAGGATGCACTTTTGAATCGCAGGCTTGTAAACCCCACTTGATTTCTAAGGGTAGTGGCGAATGCTAAGGGTTGTCAAGCATCGTGCGACGAATGCGTACAGGACGTTCGCGCATGCGTGGTTATGCCAGGTGACGTGGGTTAGCAGCTGGCGCTAGGGGCGACCAAGTGCAGTTCAAAAACCCTTCCTTGCGATACTTCAATTATTTAATTGGATCCTAGGTCTTTAATTCATCCCTTAACCCGCCCCAACCAACCCCTATATGTCTGACTAATGCGAGAATAAAATTCAACCCACTCGCGATGCACATTACGCAGGTGCATAACAGCGGCGATTCGACTCGTTCTACTACCTTTGGTACCTTTGAGTCTGGTTTCCAATTCGCGTCGCTAGATCCGCCGGTCAGAGCTGGACGTAACTTTTGGATTATACGATTAGCTCGCGAGTAAAGTCCTTCGGGGGACGTCAGGTGGACGTGGACGAGTCTTAGGAATCGTGAGGTAATATTTTTTCTTTTTTTTTCCAGCCACTCAGGACAATGAGGAATAAAGGTGGCGTGTCGTTCGATGATAACGTACGCGACAGGATGAGACTTTTATGGTTGACCGATATGTCGGATGCGCTTTTGAGTGGAAAATTGAAAAAGCTAAGGTATGCATTGCGATAGTTCAAAGGGTCATAAATAATTATTCGACTTTTGCCCATTCGCTTTGGCAATAGGTCGCGGATAGTTTTCACGTGAAATGTTACGTATTTAGTTAGGAAAATGGAAAACGATACATTTCTGTTAATCGTAAATTTTCAGACCAGGATCAAAAGTCAATGGGAAGCAGGACGAATGAAATGAAGCAAAGTGTCTCAAAATAAAAACACGCGTACAAGAATCTCCAAGTCGAAGGTTAATGGAGGAATTAGTGTAAAAAAAAATATCAAGTCCAATTTTCAAAACCACTTACCAAAGTGCAAGCTGGTAATGCAATATGGCTCGGTTGGGTTGTGAGGTGTCCCTGAGGAAGTTCGCAAAGTTGTAATGCATCTTAGCGTTGTGTGGCAGAGACCTCAGACCAGCTCTGCAACAAGAAGATCACAGGAGATCAGACAAGACCAGATTTGACCTTTCGAGCCAAGCTTGACCCACCTCACCATCACCATCACCATCACCCATAACTACATTTTGCTACAGGAGTTCAATCAGTTCTAAATCTAACCCAAAGATAGAATCTTGACCCAGATCAAAGTCTCTTATTAATTCAGCAGCATCCAATCTACATTCCCTTCAAGATTTATCTCACGTTATCATTCCTTAAATTTATACATGACAATTACAATCCATCACCCCTCAAAACACGGACCCCGATCATTATCATAAGTAAAATAATTTTTACAATCATTGTCCACCATACACAAACTGTACCAAAAATCCACATGGACTTGTAGGAAAAAAATTTTTTAAATAAGGAAAAGTCGTAGTCATCTCAAAGGCACCTGAGCAAAGTTTCCCGTGACGTCCAATCCCGATTTCGAAGAACGGTCCGACAGCATCCAAACACCAGGAGTGAGACGACCCCTGCAGTGATGAGACTCCTACGTCGTGGTACAGCAGTCCAGGTCACCTGAGCCCCATAAACTACCAGCAACGTCCAGCCAATGCTATAAAGAGAATGGAGTCTTAGTTTCTTTTCATTCTACTATGCAACATGAAAACCCGGAGGATCGTAAAGTCGTCATTTAAAATGCAGGACGATAAGGGTATAAAGGATAAGGACCAAGCCTGGTATTCGTCATCTATGATATCCCTATAGACTCTATATACACGCGACGAGTTGACAATCCTCGGAGAGTACTACCAGCACAGTGCTACCAACTTATCGATCCAATTATTCAAGACTGCCAACAGCATCTTCCACAAGGAACTCCTCAAAACTACTGCGACCATATCGTAAAACCAGCGGCTCACGGTTGTCTCTACGAATACCTCTGACACTCTTTATGGGCGACTCTTACCTGGGTATATACAGGACACGTTCTGCCACCACGAAACCAACAGTAACGAAGAGATTCGATGCTGGTAGAAAAGGTAGGACCAGGAACATCCAACCGAGGACGAGGGGCGGATGTCTCTGTTGCTGAAATAAAAGAAAAGTCAAAGTTAGGGCTCGTAAAAGAAAAGAAGTAGAAAAAGAGAAAGAGGGAGGGGGGGGGGGAGAAAAAAGGAAAAAAAAGTGAAACGTCAAGACGATTTTCGTTTACGACGCGGTTTCCTGAGACAGCCATATACTACAGGCACGATTCTTGAAGGAAAGAAAAAAAAAAAGATTAATCGATTGGTAGCAACTAAATTTTGGGAAAACAAAAGATAAGGCCACATTACGAGGAAAATTTATTACCACGCAAATAAATGATTCATTCCCTGGATCAGAATGATATTATCACCATCACCACTGTCGGATGATCAATGGACGTCATGAATAATAGAAATATTTTTATCGAATCTCCTCGTACCAGCCATTATTCCAAATGCCTGTATATGATATTCTAAATGATCGATAAACAAAGCGATAAAGGAATATAGACACGGTCTTGATATTACGGCACGATTGACTTTGGTAAATTCGAAGATTCACAGTGTTGCCTAATATGTATATACAGACGTCCGAAGTGGTAATCAAGTAACTTCCTACGATTTGACAATCTATGTATGCCCGTGGGTAAGGTCGGCATTGATTTAATAGAAATTCGTAATTTTACCAGCGATTCCTGCCGATTGAACTTGGCGAATGCCGGGCAGGGATTCTCGCGCGATTCGTAATTAGAATTCCATGCTATCCAAGTGAGGCTTTTGTGCGTCTGAATTATGGCCGTTTATCGTGGCTAACGCGAGAGCCCTTGTATCATTATTGCGTGTGTGTTGTGTTTAGTGTTCCGATGCTCTGGCACGCACGGGCATACAGGACCGATAGTACGGTTGGTACATTGGTACGTTGCTACCAGGTTGGTATGGTCCTCGGCCGTAGGGCATAGCGTGAAACAGATATGTTCCGGGTCAGTAGTTCGCGTTCAGTTCGTGCATTGTATTTTAATGTGCCAGGAGATAGGAGAGGACAAACATGAAAATGATTGCCCGGATATTTGCATATTTTAATCGAAAACGCGACGGGCAACCAGCAACATGATACGGGAGGGTCGAGATATTTTTTTTTTTTTTTCAACCCTTGGATCCTTCCAGTGGAAAATTATTTTATACCTTCCTGCTAATTGTTCCTTCTTTTTTTTTTTATTTTATTACGATCATTCATACGATCCAAAAGACGGATATCCGATACCGCTCTAGTCAGCTTGATTTGCTTTAGTAATTACTCCAGGGGATTATGCGTCTTTTGAACGACCACGTGTTAGTGCTTAGGTAGGTGGATACGTTACGGAAAGATACACGTATGCTTAGTCGGATCATCCCTTAGACTATTTACATGGGTAGCTCGCTAAGGGTGCGTAAATCCTTGACACGTCCCTGGCGGGACATTATTGGCAGGCTATGAAGTTGGATGAAGCGATGTAGATCCGATATAGATTCTGGCTACTGTTAAAATGACCCTGGTGCTATGAGACTGAAATTATGACTCATACCATAGGACGTCCAGGGCGTGTCTGTGTTATCGGAGCAAATATGTAATTTTATATACAAACAAGGTCACTGACGAGACGATTTAATCAGGAAAGTAAAAAGAAAAAAAAACATAATTGTTTTTCCACAATACAAATTTATCGATCGAGCCTGACATTAATTGATCTATACAAGACCCCGGTAGGGGTTGTAGTTCACGATGGAGACGTCGATTAAATCTTTATTAAGTACTGAAAACCTTATCAAACCTTACGAGAGACAGTTACCCCGTATCGTGTAAAAGGGTTCGTGCCTATAAACCACCCCATGTAAATTCTATCACGTAACCCAGGTATATCTGTACTATCACGTAGAAAGCCTTTCGCCAATAGAAAGCTTAGACTCAATTAATGCTGACGCACTTGGCAAACAAATATAATGGATTTCATGGTTTCACGAAAATGGGGTACAGTTAAGCCTCGTGTGGGTTGTGCACTATGCAAAATAATTTTCACGTGTAAAATCTACAGTACGCCATACGAGCACGTATTCGTATCCCTTCGTAAGGCTTCCAATACAGTCTGCCCCTTGGTTTACCCTGAACCCATATGACGCTACGATAACTCATAGGATTATGATACAACATAAGATTAGCCTACCCGAAGCACTTTACTGGAAAGTCCTATGGTTCGGTATGGGACAACGCGAATCATCCCCATGGTGTGTACGTTAGAGTGTAATATGGTTTGCGTCATTACCCAGTAGCACTGGCAATATCGTTAAGCGGTTCCTGCTATGTTATGGGTTATGGTACCAGCACACCATATCCATACCATAAGCGATTATCAGTCGGTGGATTTACTAGCACCATAGAACACTAGTTTGAGATTGAATCATCGGTCAGTCTGGACACGTATATCCTATTCCATTATGGTCGACCTATTTTTATTATTCTAGTATAAGCTTTTAGAGGATTCGACCGTCATATGTTTATGCCTGATATACGTGTGGAGATAAATGGAGTACCTGGGAGTGATTCCAGTCGGGTATCTGCGAGGGTAGTTTTTACACGCGGTGGAC